CCTTAAATTGTTTAATAGTTACCCCCTCATTAAGCTATTTTTAAAATTTTCATTTAATGCGAGATGAGCTTCATCTATATATAATTTTTCGTTTTTGAGATACAGGGCGAAATTGAAAATGTGCATTTTTGTACCCTCCTGTATCTTAGCTATATTTCTACTTATATAAAAAGTAAAAACTGTCTTTTATACATTCTTTCACTTGGAATCCAGTGGCGTGGTCATATTTTCAAGAAAAGCTGGTATTATTCATATACAGGGTGTCCCAAAATTGCTGGGACACAGAGCTACCACGTGTAGAGGAGGTCGAAATGAGTTGATTGGACACAATTTATTTATGTGCCAAAATGTACCGTTTGTCCGTGAGAAGGGTTCAAAGTTCACTTGAAAAAACACATTTTTGTACGCTGTTCAGAAATAAGTGGAACGAATTCGATGAAATTTGGCAATAGTGTATTTCAGAGGATTACTTTCCTTTTGGTAATCTAAGAAACCTAAAAGAAATTGTGGAAGGGTTGAAACCACCCTCACCCCCTGACATTTTCTTCAGAACTTTTTTAAGGGTCATGATACGGTTCTAAAATTTTTTGATCTTGAAGACTCATCAATTGCCTTCAGTTTATCACTCCTGTAGAAATTTCGTATACCAAATAGTTTCGAAGAAAAAAAATGTTCTCTCAAATAATGCTATATATACCAGATATTCCCATAGTACAAGTTTAATTAAATTGTGATATAAAACTTAGTTGGCAGTGGAAACGAAGGCAAGTCGTGATTTCGATAGGAAACAAATTAATTGTCATTCAAGTTTGTTGTTGACGTTGTCTGTAAATGTTTCAATAAATTCTTCAATTTTGTTATTACCGCGGGTACCATTACCGACCATTTATTATTATTTAATTGTTGTTGTAATTTCAACGGCTATCAAATATGGATTTCTCTTATAATGAGCAGACCGATATGATCTTAGTTTTCTCTGAAATACTGAAATACACTATTGCCAAATTTCATCAAATTCGTTCCACTTATTCCTGAACAGCGTACAAAAATGTGTTTTTTCAAGTGAACTTTGAACCCTTCTCACGGACAAACGGTACATTTTGGCACATTAACAAATTGGGTCCAATCAACTCCTTTTGACCTCCTCTACACGTGGTAGCTCTGTGTCTCAGCAATTTTGGGACACCCATATGACCTAAAGTTTTTTTTTTAATTTATTATTTTTACATATTATTTTAAAACACTGATATCTTGCACTTTTCAAAAATATATTACACTAATACGATATTTCGAGTATAGTATAGTTTTCTTTAGTAGATTTTTTATCGATGGGCCTTGTAAATATGTAGCAGTATTCTCATATTTACCTTGTTGCTGACACAGTGTTTCGTGACACACTCAATTTTACTAAAATTCAACATTTACCAATATTCAGCACTATTAATTGATTATGGAAGCTGTGGACCTAATCAGTAGGCGACTATGAAAAAAAGCGAGTGCCGAATGTTTTATAGTTTGTGTCACCTGATGACTACCTGTCGGTCGAAAATTTTTCATACAATGGCGAATAATAATCCAGGAAATCAAAACTGCGAAACATTAGATATGGTTGGGATATAAGTTATTTTCTAAATTCTGGTAGTTTTGATATCCTGGATTATTATTCGAATTATATGAGAAAATTGTAAAATTCGACAGTAAGACTTCTAATTAGAGTTATATCTAAATAATTACAGCTTATTTTGAAAATCTGACTACGTCACTGGATTCTACGAGAAAAAATGTATAATAGACAGTTTTCACATTTTCTATGAGTTGAAAGATATAGCTGAGATACAGAAGGGTCCTTGAATGCTACATTTTCAATTTCGCTCTGTCTCAAAAACGAAGCAGGCTATGAGAAATTAGTAAGATATCCCGTAAGGACATCGAAAATGGGACAGCCTGTACATGATAGTAGTTCATGAAACCAGTTGAGAATGCGTAATTTTGTGTGAACATGAGATTTTGCGGTACGACTGTCCACAACTTCACACGGTTGCACAAAAGTGCGATTTCAACGATTCACTTCTTTCTTTTATTTCGATTATATAAGTTTTTCAGAACAATGACATTTTAAGATCAGTAAATTTCTGATCAAACATTGTCGACGACCATCAAGTATTTATGACTCGGCGAAAACAAATACCTATCGAAACAAACGCATGATAGGTATCCTTATATTTTGTATTCCAGGATGGTTATTAATTGATCGACCCCTTTTTGAATACTACCGTTCCTGTAAAATAGTGTACCTATATATGTCTTTCAATATCAGATATTTCATAAATTAATTTTTTCGATGAAAAAATTCAATCACTCCGTATAAAATCGTAACCGTATTTAAATGAGTTATAAGTATTATGAGACATTCTATCATTTCATCATGTTTCAATCAAGTACAGGGTCATCCTGTATGATTGAATACATTATTATTATTTTGAATGTTAAGCATAAGCAATATCAAATGTTCAATTATTCGATTCAAGTTGAAACCAACCAAATCTATGGAATTGTTGTCCAAATCTCCGTGAGCTGCAACCGGCTCTGTGTTTTGCATGTTAATTTGCACCGTTTTATCAGAAAGAGATGGAACAATGGATGAAACATTTGGTAGCGGAGATTGATACATAAAAGTGTGTTCATAAGAATAAATTTTGAGACCTAACCAAACATCGGATTTTGATTTCGTTTTCACCAACAGATTTGGAACATATTTAGGTATGTCTGCGTGGTGAGCTAAATATTGTCAATTCAATTTTGAATTAGTTATTCGATTTGGAAATGACTGAATTTTTAGCGCTTTTTGATAATTTTTTTTACATCGATGAAAGCATTTTTTGATCAAAAACAATCCATGAAAACATAGTAGACGACCATATCTATGACACAGCGAAAACAGAAATCGAAACAAACGCAAGATGTCCTCATATTTTGTATTCTAGAAATGCCATAAAATGACCCATTCTGGCTACTATCCGTTCCTCTTAAGCGGAGTTTCTTCAGATGTCCTTTCAATCGACAGTTGTCCTGAAAGGACTCCAGTTAGTATTCGGGTCATATTTTTACTTAGGTTGATGCATTCGGTACATCTTTTCTGGTTGTGGGTTCCCAGGAGTGTCTACGATTGTCTTAAACCTTGTAGATCCTGTCAGTTTTTGGCTCTCTTAAGTTACATTTTGCTGATCCCACTGAAGGGTTCGGGCCCCATAAATGGTGTTTCAGCATTCAGCCTCTTTCTTCGCCAGTCTCTGCTATCTCATTCCTTCTATTTCCTCTACCTAGATCGTTCAGTTTTCTAGGCAGTTCCAGACTATCTTTGAGTTGATAGCTGCTTGGCTATCAGACATGATTATGATCCCGTCTGCGGTACTTATTCTCGATGTTGAGCTACAAATTTTCCAATGGCATATACTTGATGGTTTGCCCAAGCTCTCCTGAGTATTTGGTTCTAGGTACATATACTTCAATCCCAGTTTCTTCTGACGTCCGAGAACTCTCTGTGTACATGACCATTCTCATTGGTCAGATGTTGGGCTTCTCATTGACGAAAGATATTACATTTTTCAGTTCAAAGTCAAATGAAAAAATGTCTTCGACGGAAGTTGACCATATAATACGTAAAGAAAAAGAAAAATTTCCATTTGAAAAAATGAAGTTGACCCTGTAAAGACTCTACCCCCATGGTTATATAATGATTCAATTATTTTACTCTGTTTCTGAAATTAATCAACTTGCATTTTTTTCAAATTCATAGTTTTCGAGATAAGCGGCTGTCCCAAATTATACGGCCGTAGCGGTCACTTATTCTAAGTAATTACGGTGGAAATACCTCATGGGTGGTACCGAAACTTGACGTTAGTGTGTTTTTGATGTTATAAATCGTGATATTACAACAGTTGCTACTGAAAAAAAAAATTGTCAGTAAATCTATCATTAAAAAGAAATGTTGGCATGATATGGATATTTTGATGGATCTGTCTCAATGGGCCTGTTCCAGTGGAAAATGTTATTTCATTATTTTGAAGTACTAACCCTAACGAATCCACTGTCACAAACCCTTTTTTCTTTCCCAAGAGCTCTGTAGATTTTTCGAATAATTATTGAAATTCACGATATTTCATAACATGACCAAATCACCCGTGAACAATCTAACGCAACCATATAAGATTCAATAAGTGCAAGTATATTTCGGATTGTCATTTTTATCAAAATATGAAATTAATTTCCTGGACTGAATACTCACTGTAGATAACACAGAATCCAACACACAACTGAAGAATCAGATAATATAAGGATTATCTTTGAATATTCGCAGTATTTGTTTTAGATTTGACTCTGGATGTGACTAGATACTAGATGATGAGGTTTTGAAGATGACGGTGACAGAAGAGGATGTCGTTTGAAAGTTAGGTTAGAATTCTTTTCCTTTCTTGATCTTCCTGTGAACTCTAAGTAATCCTCAGCCAGGGTCACAAAATAGTTTGGGTTAGAATAAAATATCGATCATTATTAGGAATAATACAATATTCTTATTGGCCCTGGAATATCCTGCAAAACATATAAGTATTCAGTGATTATTAGGGACCAGGTGGAACCATTGTCTTCTGTGAATATAAGTACTGTTGTCATTGGTCATATTGAATCTCATAAGGTAATCACTAATCATGAATTTGGCAGCGTCAAAGTATGTGGATATGATCGCATTGGTTGTTGATGAATAAAGACGAATATATCAACCAAATGTCACTATTACCACGTGAGAATGCGTATGTCATCGAGAGCTGGAATTTTTCGAAGGTGCTGATTTTACTGTTTGAAAAAAATATTCCTGATGATTTTGAATAACAAATGATTGCATCAAATAATATTTATACTCGGAATGGTCAATATGAAATAGGTATGTGGCGTAAATTCTACTAGTGTGTACAACCCCATTCCCTCTGGATGAATTATCATACCTTTGACAAAAAATATTTCCTCCTTAGTATCTTCGTATTTTGATAAGCACTTCACAGCCATCATTTTATGTTCTGAGCTGAAAGGGTATTCTTTCAAGCGGATGTAACGATTGGCAGCATTGTCAATTCCATGTTTCATTGCAGCTGCTAGTAAAGCACCTTCTGTTGGTGTACCAATCAGAGCTTCATTTTTAATGGCTGCGTTATTGCATACTGCACCTACCTGAAAACAAAAAATTCGATATTGGAACAACTATACTTAGGACGCAAAACAGCAACATATCCTAAAAATTTAGATGACCGTGATGTGGGTGATGAAAAAGAGAGAAGTAAAATTTGATCTTGTGGGTGGGTGTACCCAGCTAGAATCTCAAAATGTGAATATTTGTGCCTTCACTGAGTTGTTGGAAATATACAGGGTGATTCACGAGGAGACTCACATAGCTAAATGGTGAATAGGGGATATCAAGACCAGTTGATGTATAATGAAACAAAAACTTTCGAATGACTTTTCAATTTTGACGTAGCTGATAACTCTTAACTGGACTCATGTAAATTGATTTTTTGTACAATTTCGTTGGATAGAAATTGACAGAAAAGAGTAATTGTGAGAAAAAAAAACAAAGTACTGAGTTTTTGATATAATTTGGAATGTTTGATTTTTGATCGATATTATTATTCGTGTCTTTGTCTAATGACTTTTAATTGGAGTAATAATGAAATAGTAGGCACTGTTTTTCATTGTGTGGCGTGACGTGAAGTTTGTTGAGGTACCAACTGGTAACATTGTGCATTGTGCATGTGGATTTTCATGTGGCCATAGATTGTGATTCATCAAACTAGTTATGCCATCATGCGTGAACTGAGCTTCATATTATTGTTCTTGATACACTTCTACAAGTGATATGGAAGCATTCGCTCTTTCTTCAATATTCCTAATGTTCACCCTCGTGAAGGTTTTACTGCTACGTATTCATATGTTTAGAAATCTTCTATGGTATTGAACATTGCAGCATTCGAATTTTCATCATGTTCAGCATTTGGAAAATGACATCTTCAGTGCAAGAATATTTTGATTATCCGTGATTATCAACAAACACCACGTCACATCATGAAATATCAAAAGGGTTTACTTTAATAAAAATTCATAAAAAAGCAATGACTAACAAGATCTATCTAGAATTTGTACTGCGCCTGATATTCATGCCTCCTCTTAGTTTTATTCGATCAATTCGATATTGTATAGTTATAGATTAGAGTAAGGTTGTTCAGTGGAAATAATGCGCCCTGTATTGACTGGAGAAATCTCGGATAGTTGATGGAAAAAAAGGAACAAGTTGCTAGGGAGATAGAGAGACAGAAAAAACAAAGGGGATAGAAGATGAAGGGAGAATCATCAAATGATGGGGTTGTTGGAGATATAAAATTGTGAAATATCGAAGAAAAGGCAGCCGAGACATAGCTGTTGACGTTCCATATTTGCTTGTGATTGACAATTTATAAAAATTCATACTGACAAGCAGTCGCTGTCAAGAGCAGATCGCTGATATACTGCATGTTTTCGGGATAATTTCCACTATTGATCAACTTTCCATGAACCAAGTCAATTCTGAACGCTGCCTAATTTTGTGATTCTGTTAAGGGTGTTAGAGTACCTATAGTTATAGTCGGAAATAGATCAAGCTATTGTTATTAGAGTAGTATCTGAGTTTATATTCCTGGCCGGCCATAACATTTGTTATTTGTGATCAATATAGAGTATTGTCGAAGTAGTTCGTGTCTTGATTGTGGTCCTCAGAACAGGAAAGAATCCAGAATTTGTATTGTAGCTTATTACAAATTTCAATCAAAAACTAACATTTCAAATTATCAGAAAACTCAGTAAGTACTGTGTTTTTCTCTCAACTTTTTTCTCTGTCAATTTCTATCTAACAAAAATGTACAAAAAATCAAGTTACATGAATCAATTTGAAATTTAAGAGTTATCATCCAGGTCGAAATTGAAAATTCATTCAAACGTTTTCGTTTTATATTTTTTCATTGACTGCTCAAAGTGTGCCGTACAAATTGAAGAGTAGTTCTTATGGCATTTTATCTGAATTTTCTGAATCTGATAAACTTTTTCGATAATAAAATGAAACATTAATCTTTCCCAAGTCCAGATCTGGATTTTTTTTCATAATATGCCATCTTCAATAGTTCCAATAGAGAAACGTCGCTGCCAAATTTCAGCGGATTACGAGGAATAATTTCTGAAATATACCATCAAAGTTATATGGTAATTTCACATAATTGTTTCTTCATTAAGGATGACCGAACAACATACATTCATGCAGGAAATTTCAATTTGGTGGCTTCTACCGTTTGGAAGCTATGCGGAAAAAATATTTTAATTTAATCAACTTTGGAAGGACATATCTCCCTTAATACACATTTTGGGCCATCAGATAATTCATCAAACTATACTCATTTTTCAATATTCTATCACCTCCAGAAAGCTGGGTACACATTTTTGACTCACCCTGTATACATCAACTCGTCTTGATTCCCCCTATTTACCATTTGGCTATGTGAGTATCCTCATGAATCACCCTGTATACAAAAAAATGCTGATGAAATTGTTATAGAAATATTTACTAGGTACTACCAGGGACATATTATTTCTCTAAAAAAATACAAAATCCCTTTATTCTTTATGAGAATCAATACCACCACTTCAACAAAGGTGATTTGAGTGTGATTTGTAGATTCTTGTGTTCTTGATGAAATGAAGACTTTTTACTATGGTTAATAACAACGAATCCACATATTATGTATACAGGGTGAGTCAGAATGAGACCGACAAACTTCGTATACGGATTAATAACATCATTTTGAGGTGAAAAGGTCCTACCATCGTATGTCCTTAAATGCATCCTCTCTGAGATACAGGGACTCACGAGTACGCAAAAATGAGGTTTATATCAATTCTTTTAGAACCCCTGTAGGAGAAAAATTGAAATTTGGTATACTTTTCCAAATTGACCAATGTAATCACATAATGTTTCCATTCTTGAATATCGTTAAGCAGAGGCGTAGGTACTGTATGTCGCCACATATTTTTTAGGACAGACGAATTGTCGAATTGATGCATGACATCAGTTATGAAGAATTCCATGGGCAGGAACTGGTGGAGTGTTTCTGCACTCAATGTATATGTTTCCTTGTTACTCTCATGTGTTAAACAGAGGTAAATATACGCTCAGTGGAGAAACACTCCACCAGATCCTGCCAATGGAATTCGTTAGTAGGCTCATCGATACCTAAACTGAAAGTAATAACTTTCTTCATGCTCAAATGTAGAGCTTCCTGAGATATTTGCGAAAAACTAAAGATTAGATCAGATCGAATCATTATACCTTAGTGCTATGACAAGTCAATAATTTGTTTTGTTTTTTGTATATCGCTACTTCAAAGTTGGGAACCAACTCCCCAGAAGTCAGAACTTGTGCGGGACCTACAGTTTATAGGGGAATCCGAACCACTTCTAGGGCATCGAGGTGCTACCAGGATTACAACCATGAATCTCACATTCTTTTAAGAAAAATGCTCAGACGATAACCGGATTCGAATCGACAGTACCTTCCCATCGTGAACGGCTATCTAGCGAATTTCAGCGCATAGACAAACTCGGCCACGGCGTATAAGTTACAATATTTTGATTATACAAAAACAGTAAATAGTTGATGAAAGTTGTATATAGTAAGAGCTTGAAATAAATGAATATATAAATGTAAAAACAGAGATGCATTGGGACAGTACATTGACGATATTCACTCAGCACAAAATAAAACAAATGTAAAAGCTGAGATGGAAAGAACCAATAGTCAGTCAGTTGAGCTAAGTCAGATGCATCATAGTAGTAAGCATTCTCTGATGGGTGTTTTTCAAGTTTCCTGTCGAAATTATTGAGGGTTGCATTTTTTATTGATTGGGACAGTGAGCTATGTCTCCTTGTCATTTCTAGTATTTGGTGGGGTGCTCTAATATTATTCTTGTTCCTAGTTTTATATGAATAGTTGTTTCCATTTGTAGTGAACTTTTATGAATTTTCTTGAATGTGTATCAAATTGCAGTATATTCAATTCTTACAACTCTCTATTTGAAATACTTCAACTGAAGCTCGATTTTGAATAGTAAATATCCTCGAGAAATGGATAGATGTTCCCCCGTTTATCAATCCATGAGTTGAATAATTATGAAACATTGTATGATATGCGGTATGAGCAGCTTCATTACCGGTTTCATTTTTCATTTGTCAGATTGCATATCTCGCTAGTTACATTTTTTGCTAGTTTGTTTCTATGTTTCCATGTGGTAACACACACATTCACCATTTACGAATCCAGTAGATCACATTAAAATGAAGTGATAGAAATACGCCAAGTCAAAATTCTTCTTCTGTCTATCTATAATAAACTGAATGATAAAGAATATCACTAAAAACAAATGTGTTCTGAACGTAATACTTATTATTATGCAATTGGTAACAGAAAAAAACGGTAGTGATAGTCTTTTATTTTGCGACTGGTGTATATTCATAACTTCACACATCTTTCCAACAAAATGAATATTTTTCCAAAAGATACAGACCATATTATCGAAATTTTTTCAAATTGAATTCTATAGAAATGTGTTCTTGGATATGAATTAGAAGTTATTATTAAAATGACATATGAATACTGTTACCACAGTTATCGACATGACATAATACAGTCTGTCCAAGATAAGGTTGAACAGCATGGGGATTTCGGAAACGGTAGGAGATACGAAGTCGCTTAAATGGGGAAAAAGTTGCGTATTCGGAGGCTTATATCAAAAGCCTTCAAAAATTTTGAAAATTATTTTTAGTTTTTGAGTTATATCGAAAACAGTAAATTTTTGGAATTTCTATTTTATTTTTTTCCCGTTATTATTAGATACAGAAAAACTGAAAATACTTTTTCATAGCAACTTTTGATGACGTTTAACGTGGTGATACCGATTTTTTATGCGACGTTTCGTATCCGTAGAACCATCATCAACTTTTGTTTTTTAAATACGGTCCTGATAATTTTTTCACAGATTCTGAAAGGTGTTTTTATTCTGAATTCAACCATGTACTATACAAGGTGATTCGAATGTGTTTCGACCTATTTCTATCCATCATCAATGTTTTTTCGAACTTCCAAAGGAAAAAAGCCATCAGTTCCATTTATTTCTGATCAGTGTCAAACTTGATGGATTAGTTATTCAATACTGAAAAGTGAATACAAAATATTTCTCTACATCATTCGATCAATGCAACGTTTAAAATTGTTGATGAATTCTTACACGAATTACTTTAACAACTTAACTTTGACAATACCTACAGAGACATTCATAACAAATGTTCAAAATGATAACCATTTTTTTCTGAACAAAGATATGCTCTTCTCACAGTTGCTTCTAAGACATAGCTAAGCATTTCTGGGGTTATTCTATTGAATGCTTCGAAGACACTGTCCCTCCTCATCATCAAAGTTATTTGCGTGTACAAAGTTCGATATATCCCCTAAGAAAAAATCCAGCTGTGTCAAATCAGGCGACCGCGCCGGCCAAGGGATAAAAATGCACGGACTTCTCTGGAATTATGTACCGGAGCGCCATCTTGTTGAAACCAACAGTTCTGAACTTCCCCAATCGGTAAATCATCCAGAGCTTCCTCAAGATGATTCTCAAGCGAATTTCTATAACGTTCGGAAGTCTGTGTATCATGGTAAATAGAAGGACCAATAATTCGTGTACCAAATATTGCAACTCACATATTGAAGCCGAAACGGTGTTGGTGTCTCGCTGTAATGTATAAATGTTTATTTTCACGTGAACAATAATGTGTATTTTTTCTATCGAAGCTACCATGATTAGTGACCATGCTTTCATCAGTCCAGATGATTGTTCGCGGGAAATCTGCAAAATTTTAACATTTCCACTCACAGAATGTCCTGCGCCTTTCGTCATCGCCTGGTCGCTTGACATATTCTGAATTTTTATGGACAGAATTTTTGTTTCCGCAAAATGAAATGGGTTGTTGATTGAAACCAGTTGATGAGGTATCAGTGTGTTGACTAATTTTCCTTCGAAATAAGTGGAACTGATGGCATTTTTCTTTGGAATTTCGGAAAAACATTGATGATAGCTAAAAATAGGTCGAAACACACCTAAACCACTTTGTATAATACATGGTTGAATTCAGAATGAAAAAACCTTTCAGAATCTGTTAAAAAATTATCTGGACCATATTTAAAAAACAAAAGTTGATGATGGTTCCACGAATACGAAACGTCGCATAAAAAAATCGGTATCACCACGTTGAACGTCATCAAAAATTGCTAAAAAAAAGTATTCTCAGTTTTGCTGTATCTCTAATAATAACGGAGAGAAAAGAAATAAAATAGACATTCCAAAAATTCACTTTTTTCGATATAACTCAAAAACTAAAAATAATTTTCAAAATTTTTGAAGGCTTTTGATATAAGCCTCCGAATACGCAACTTTTTCCCCATTTAAGCGACTTCGTATCTCCTACTGTTTCCGAAATCCCCATGCTGTTCAACCTTATCTTGGACAGACTGTATATAGGAAATAGTAAAAAAGACAAACCTCCAATAGTTGTCGAATACTCTCCCTTGCCTTATCAGGAAAATCATACTTGGTGTGTAATAAAATCTGACCATGATCATTATATCCAGCTCCAGTAATCTCAGCGATATAACCATCGGAAGTCACTAACACCGTGGCAGTCATTTCGTTTCTAGTTATTGTTCCAGTTTTATCAGAACATATCACATTGACACAGCCCAAAGTTTCCACGGTTGGTAGTTTCTTCACTATTGCTTTTCTTTTTGCCATGCGCATAACACCTAGAGCCAGGGTTACAGTAACGACAATGGGTAAACCTGAAACGAATGAAATGCGTTTATAATATATCTGGGAGACAGTATTGATATAAAATTTAAAAAAAATGATTTCATAGTCAGCATAGTACATCAAGTATTATTATACAGATGTTATTCTCAAACGACAGAGTTCAATGTAACGATTAAATTACTAATTGCTCTTCTCATCTGTGATAAGGACCTCATCCGATGATATGAATGAGCTTCTTCCTAGCCTAAATATCTACTGGATGATTTTCCAAGGTGGCTCACCCCTATAACTTTTTTTATTTCGAATTTAGTAACATGAAATTTGAAGGTTGTGAATTATAGTTCAAATGAAATTTTTTTACATCTTTACTTGCTTTGCCTTCCTTCCGGTTTGACCGGAAATCAGGGATTATGATATCGAATTCAACTATACCAGGTTTGATAGGGATATTTCAAACAATTACGAAGAAATTTGCAATTGAAGTTTACATAAAGCTCAATGCGTGTGACGGCGCAATATCGAAACTTCTTTCTCTGTCACGTCTATCAAGTATATGGGAACATCGAATGCAAATAACTTCGTGATCGTTTGAAATAATCCTATCAAATCCGGTATCGTTGAAGTCGTTTTGACAATCCCTATATTATGTTTTAGTACATTTGCCTAAATTATGATGTTATTCTATATACACGATATTTACGATGTACATTTATGAATCAGTTATGATGTTAGCATTGTGCAATTTCTGAAAACGGAAGTTAGTAGTGCTAGTTAGGGAAGGGCCATAAACAACATCTGTTGAGATGAGACAGCACTTCACACAGGATGATTCTTAGTTTTTTTGCCTATAATGGACCAATTAGCATAAAGTTTCTTTCAAATTGCGAAACCTGCTATGCACAATTATACTCACATGATATTTCAGTTTGAGCGAGCTATCGAGAAAAACACCTAAATTATTCACACTGTCATTTACAGAAATCTGCGTGTTATCAAACAAGCTCCTAGCATTTGTTTCGTGGGGGTGGGCTTCCAAAGAGGACCTTCGATTTCAAAGGGATTATCGTTAGACATCAATAATTTGAAAGTGAAGCAACCGAATCTTCGATTAAGAGTAGTATTGTGTGTCATTCGTATGGAACTGAGAATAATTGCAATATTTAGGATAATTGGAAAACTCGTGCATGTAAATTAGAAAGAGCAAAGATCCGATTGTAGACCCCTGGTTAATGTTAGTGATAATAAGGTAGTATTTGAGCAATTTTTCGACATCAATAGATAACCCAATATAACCTGAAATTGCAGTGAGTAGCTCGTGGTCTATCTATCCTAGCAGATGCCTTTCTAGGAGAACAAGAATGGTGAGTTCTTTTATATCAAGGGACCTACATATTATGTTGTCCGTAACTGTTAACAGTACACTACTGCAACTGTGGCTAGGCCAAAATCTCCAAAATCTTAGACTCATTCAAGGGTAGAATATAGAAATTATCAATTTGGTTACGCTTTTGCTCTGGCAATTACTTCTCAAAGGCTTTATACAAGACTTACAAGATACTGATAGGGCGGAGGTGTTTATACTTTTCAGGTGAGTTAGTTTTGGCTAGCGGAATGATGATAGCATTTTTCTCAATGCTTGGAAAGCAGCCGTTTTCTACACAAAAATTGAATATATCAGTCACATATTCTAGTATGTAGGGACAGCAACGGAACTAAATTCCGACATTATTTATCGGCGCCCGTAGCTTTAGATTTGATACTGATTAGGGCTCTATACCCATTATTATTATTAGTATCAATGAAGTTGATACTGTCTGTAGGTTAATCAAGGAGGCGGTACATTCATTATTCCAGATTTTTGTGGGATTTTCTCTCCTCGTCTCTATGAAATGAAAATATTAATAAATTTAAATATACGTGTAGTGAGGAAAAATCAGATGATTTGCCCCAAAATGTCACTGTGTTTAAAGAATTTTCCTATCAGACAGCCTAAAAGAAAAAAAAAAGGTCAATTTGAGATTAATTAATGGAAACATCCTGTAACCCATTTGATTACCAACGTCACCAATTGTCACTGATAACTGAGAAGTGCCAAGACAAATACATACCTTCATTTCTCTTCTCCAAACCTTTTTCAATACAAATTATCACTGACAAGCTAGTGAATTTTTCTTTTAGGCTCTCTGATAGAAAACTTCTTTAAACACAGTGACATTTTGGGGCGAATCACCTGATATGTCCTCACTACACGTGTATTGAAATAATATTCATATTTTTATTTTATAGAGACGAGGAGATAAAATCCCAAAAAAATCTGGAATAATGAGTGAAGTAAATGTCCCAATTCGGAGAAGAAGCACTTGGTCTACAGGGTTGGAAATATATATAGAAATAATCATTGGTGGTGTGGTGAAACGGGGGTTTTCTGTTTGTCATGTATATCTAGTTCCTCCAATTCTCTCCATATATTCTTAGACTTCCCCCTTCACATTCTGTATGAGCTTGTTTCTCTTATTTGATTGCAGTGTTCGGTTGATTTGCGAGAATCTTCGTGATATACCCAATGCCTTTCTTCTCTGGTTTTTTTGAATTTAGATAAAGCTTTATCAAAAGTTTCAGATTGTCACTTAGCCAAGATGCTTGGGGTCTTGTAACCCTGGCAGTTTTTAATGGATCATGAGAAGGCATTATATAGATTAGTGATAAGTTCATTGAAAAAGATCAACTTTACTGTCTACATTATCAAGAACGGATATTTGAAATAATGGTGAATGTATTAAATCACTATAAAAACTATCGTCATTTACACGTGAAAAATCTCTGAATGTATATATACCAATATAAAATTATATCATTTATGAAGGTCCATTTCCATCACTTCGTTTCTGAATCATACCTTCTGGAATGGCAGCAACGGCCAAGCTAACGCCAATTTGAAACATCTCCATTATGAGTTTTCCTTGTATCCATCCTATTATCATTATAAAACCTATTATGGCAAAGGAATATATCGACAGTTGGGTGCCTAATCTATCCATTGATTTTTGTAGAGGCGTTTTAGGGGCTTCTTCTTCCAGCATCATTTTGAACACTGAACCAAACTCACTATTTGTACCAGTACTGACCACAATGCCCTACAATTTGAGAAACAAATTATTTAGTAATGAAAAGAGTAAGCGATGTACACTAGTGTACAGTCTTAGTGAATCACAGAGCAAACATATTCACAAAATTGATTTGGCTGATTTGTCCTTACTACGAGTATATTGAAATATTTAGTACACATTTTTCTACTGTTGGATCGCACGGTAATCCCTATTATAATCTCTGGTAGAAGTCCAACATTTCTCATGGTGGAATGTAGTTGTAATAACTAAATAAAACTCAAAATCATCTCCAGGATAGTTTACTATGTGAACAATGTCACATCAGGGGAACATGTTTTCGGACATACATATGTCCATCATCAGCCTTATAAGAAATTAGTCCTACAATAGACAAACATGAAGGTGAAAAAAATATCTACAGGTACATTGAGAAATAGTTGAAAAAATTATTACATTATTGGAACATTATTATAAAGATTTATTTCTAGTAATATGAAGGGGAAAAATTACAAAACCCCTGAGATACATCATTATGGTGATTCAAACAAAAGCCTAACAGACGCTAACAGGTCCGTTAACAGATGTTTTTTGGTGCATGATATTTGCTTTTCAATAATTGTACGCGCTCTCAGGGCACGGAGCCCTTCATTTATTGAGAACCCGTTAATTATTTCCTGGCACATGAGCTTGTGACTATGGGCATCGGCAGGCATTATATACTATGACTAGATAACTTTATTAAACTTTTTCAACTCCAAGTAAGTTAACCAAATAATTTTAGTCCGTCACACCAATCTTGTTTGTATTGTTGAACCTCTTATTAGGCTGAAGATGGTCTTTTCTGAGACCAAAACAAGTCCCTGATTGTTTAACAACGTCATTATATTGTGTGAAGATGACTTGAGCTCTCCTTCCTTCCTTTCATTATATTTAGTATTAATAATTATTATTATTAGATCAATAAGCAACAACTTCATTGTTATATATCATGTACCTTAAAAATTTAATATGTAACTTATATATGATCAAAAGTGAAACTTCAATGGAAAATAAATATTTAACAACATGAGCATATATTTTTTAATTCATCAGGAGACAGGTATGTTTTTTTTGTCTGCTTCTCTTGAAACAGCATGTACAGGGAGTTCTGGATATTGATTTTACTGTGTAAAAAGCTATAATGAAAAAACTGTTCTCAATTTGTCAAACATTATTAGGTGAGTGCCTTTCACTGTTGTGGCCGACGTTCAGCGATAGGTTAAAATGTTTTGACATTTATGATGATCTATTGCTGGTAAGTCATTGTTTTGTGAAACTATCAATGAGGAAAGTGGAATACAAAAACTATCCAAACAGTCGAAATTCGAAATCAATAAAAGTGATCAACACAAATATTTCAACCAATCAGAAAGGTGTACCTATCTTGAAACGAATGGAATGATTTACGAAACTGTTGCCCCGACATTGCCGATATGAGAAATGGCATCTCGACATGTGCTGACTCGAACATGACAAAAACAAAGCTTAAGACTATTTTGTTCATTTTGATTCAATGCATCGCTTGTTGTGATTATCATACGAATAACTGGGACACTTATATAATTATCATCATTTTTATTTATTTATTTATTTATTTATCGAACATATCTTCCAGTCAGGACAAGTTCTGGTATGAGGAAGAACATAATTATAAAATAATAAGTAATACATATTTATGAACTATACTACACAAACAGAAGTAGAAGGGAACATGAATAATGAATCATAATAAATCAGGATATCACAATGAATCACAATAAAACAAAACAATCAATGAACAAAGAAAAGCATTCTAGTCAAGGACATAACTTACTGAATACTAAATAAACATTTCTCTCAGAAATGATCAGTTTTTCATTTTCTTTCTTATTGTACTTATATTTTCTGCAGTTTTTTATTTCATCTGGTAGTTTATTGAACTCAGATAAGGCTGCATGAGTGAATCTTTTTTGTCTAGTTTGATGACTATGAATTTCAAAATTTCTTGTCAAAATAATATAGGATTTAAATTTTTTATTTATGATATTATATGACATTTTCAGAGTCTTTAATATGTACAGTTGTTCTAAAGAATATGTTTTTGTTAAGTCATATACAGTTCAGTTGTTGGTGTATCATATGGAAGACGATACAGTACTTTTAAGGATTTCCTAGGGTGACACAGGGCATCGGGCCACCCCTGTAACTTCTGCTTTCGTCATCGGATTTTTCTGAAATTCGGTACAGTTATATAAGCAATTATTTCGGATTTGATCACATTACAATCCAATATGGCGGACTTTCGGTATTTCTGGAAATGCCAGCTACTTTGTTTTTTCAAATAAAACACCCTGTATATTTTTATATATTCAAGTTCAACAGGTCGTAACAAGTGCAATCTTTATGTCAAATGTCATTTTTTCGAAAAATATGAAATTAAAATTGTTTTTTCATTTTACCTCGTGGATAAATGAGATGTGGTCAAGACTATTCACAATGAGTCACACATAACAGAAGAACATAATTTTTTCTGAAAAATTATTTTTTGTGTCACTTATCCAGGAATCAATTCAGCCACATCACTTTTTGATCGAAAATTATTTTTTTTCAAATGGAACCCCTATGGGCCACCTACCCGTTTCTCTAGAACATACATTGAGGAACAAAATGAAATATCATTTTTGTTTTTCGGTGCAGTAACAAATTGTATACATTCAAAAATCAACAACTAGTTTATGAATTTCCTTGCAGTTAGAATAATTTTTCAACTAGGTAGGCTGTGGAATGAATGACATTTGACATCAAGATTGCACTTGTTTTGACCTGTTAAACTTGAATATGTAAAAATATACAGGGTGTTCCATTCGAATAAACAGAATTGCTGGCATTTCCAGAAAAACCGTAAGTCCGCCATATTGGATTGTAATGTGATCAAATCCGAAATAGTTGCTTATATAACTGTGCCGAATTTCAGAAAAATCCGTTGACGAATGCAGAAGTTACAGGGGTGGCCCGATAGCCTGTGTCACCCGGTATAATGTTGATATTTTATTAAAATTATTTTTAGAACAAGATCCCCAAACATTTATTGAATAGTTAATTCGACTTAGTATATGTGAATAGAGTACTATATTTGCAATTTTCATATTGAGTTTGGGACTTCTTCTCATGCAATAGGAGATATTTTCTTCCTCAGAACCTCAATAGGTTTGTTCCACTTAAATTTTTCATCAAACCATATACCTGATTACTTTATATGTTCAGTTTGTTTCAAGAATTCATTCTTTATTTGAAGATTGAGCTGAATTTTATTTTTATTTTTTTGTTGAAAAATCATGTATTCAGTTTTTCTGGTATTTATTGATGGAATGTTAGAGTGGAGCCATTTTTAAAATAATTTCAGATCTTTATTTATCACAGTTTTTTAAATTAGAGGATTTTTGTTTTCATATAAAAGCATTGTATCGTTTGCATATATGGTATAATTACTCGATAAACCAACTTTCGTGATATCTTGAATATAAAGCAGATACAGTATTGCTCCTAAAACAGATCCTTTTGGAACACCCTTATTCATTGACAGTTCATGAGACTCAGAATTAGCAGATTTGGTACTGATTGTTCTATTTTCAAGATATGAAGCTGAAATATTTCTCACAATGCTTCTGAGTAGGTACTCACCTTTCCGACACCATTCCGCACTAGGGTTCCCATGAATACTATATTCGTATTGCTTGAGTGTGCCCCATTTGGCCTAATTACGGAATCAGTGTTCTTCTTTGCGGGTTCCGTTTCTCCAGTGAAGGAGCTCTCGTCGATTGTCAGATCGGACGCCTCGAAAAGCCTGATATCGGCGGGGACGCGATCGCCAACATTTAAAAGCACCACATCTCCAGGGACAAGCTCCCGAGCTAGAAAAGTATCCGCCGTGCCTTCTCTCACACTAAAATATAATAAAAATACTTTTTTCACCAACCGTCCGGAAAGTGCTCACTTCCCGGACGCTTTTTCTTTGAGAAAGTATCATTTTTTCGGCCTAGTCCGTGAAGGGAGTACTTACCGAACTAGGCCGGAAAGTATCACATCGATGTTGTCACTGTAACTATGAAAATCTTGGTAGATAAGGTTTTGATAAATGCAGATAATGATTACCATAGCAACGAAATATCGGCTGACAGCTATTTGACATTAAATTAGTTGACCTTTGGGTTTTTGAAAGTTTGTTTACAATTATCGGAATAGACATTATTTGTATTTTTGCTAGTGTTTGCTGTATCATCATCGATCTTGAAGAATTTGTTTGTAAATTTGCTATTATCGTTTTTTTCCTATCATACTGCATATTGCAGTTACAGTGATGATATGGTATGTTTCAAATTATCCAAGGCCGGCCCAGTACGATATACGCACTGCGCATACTTATCCAATCAACATTTCCAAGCCCATCAATATTTTTGTTGTTTATAGGTCAGTGGTAGACACCAACAATACATGAATATCATTCATCTCCTCAACAAAGATATCTGTGAAGGTACAAGGTAAGGGAAAATATAAGTTTCTGAAATGTGGTGTCATATATGGACTATCAAATACCTTTTTCTCTTAGTCAATTAGGCATGGAATAGTGGTCGGTGACAAAAAAATTAATCCTTCAAATTTGTATCATTCAGTTATTTGAGAAAGAAAAGGTATTCTGTGACACCATATTAAATCAACTATATAGCAAATTTCAGATTCCGATATCAAAAATTGTAGATGGTAACGATCAGAATCAGAAAATAAAATACTCACCAATGACATGATGGAGGTACCAATTTAGTCAATTCCTGTAATGACTGTTCAGATCTATACTCCTGGATGAAGGCTACAGTTACGACTATGATTATAGCGACTGTTATACTAATTGCATCGTCGAACTGGCTCATAGCAGCAGAAACTACAGCGGAGGCGAGAAGCAGTAAGATGAGAGGATTTTTGAATTGTTCTAAGTACTTCTTACATATCGAGTCGCCATTTTTAACTGAGAATTCATTATATCTGGAAAATATAGAAACTCAAGATACCGAAATATTAAATCTAAAAAATACTATTGTATAGGGTATATTAATTCTATAATTGGGGATCATATTTACTCACTGAGAGATTGAAAGTGCTACTTTAGTCCCTCAATTGATGAATTGAGAGGACCTTTTTATTCCCTGAAGTGCAAAAAGTTTATTGTTATAGGATCTTCCTTTAAAATTAATTTGCTTCAATATCAGGAAGGTTGTTCCATGAGGAATCTTTGATTACTCCGGAATAGTCATGTGATCAACAACATTACCTACTAATATAAAAGCTATCTAAAATATACAAAATCTTGTGGTTGAGGCGCTTCCAGTAAGTCTGTGGGTTTGATTTTGAATGTAGAGAATGTGAGTATCTTGAATATATTTTTTTTCGGCCGTTACTTGATTGAAGATGAATTATCTTACAGGAAGAAAATGAAGGAATATAATCTATTGGAACCATTCGAAATAAACAACAAACGCCAAAATTCTAACATTTTACTTTACAATCAACGAGACCTCAATAATTCACCACTGTCGAATTTGTTTCCCTAGTAGGTAATAATATTTATTTGCTATCAACCCTTTCAAGTTAATCATGTACACCGAATTTTAATGTAGATACTGCCTACTTTCCGAAGATGAAGGTTTATCGAACCTTTTCACAGGTAATATTGATCCTTTAGGTTAGGAAAGAAGGATATAAAAGTTAGGCAGGTCAATGTAAGTTTAGTTTATTGCACCAGTATTTCATCTGAAGAAGCTCCCGGTTAGCGAAACATGTGTGATGGAGAATTTTGAAGTATTTACATTTATCCTGAATATATTGGTAATATTGGTTTGATTGAATCTTTGACAGTAGGTATGTATGACGTCAGGAATCCAAAATTGTTTGTCATATGCTGTCATATGTCATTATTTTTTAAGGTTTTTCCGGTAGGCTGCATTAACATTCCATAATCGCACATATTAATCTAATAAAACAGTGATAGGGTCTGAAGGCCATGAACCTGTTGGAGCAACAGCAATGAGACAAAATCATTGCCGCCCGGAATACCTGCATGTAAACACGTGATTTTTCATCTATCACTGCTCCAACATGTTCGCGGCCTGAATAACTATAACCCGATCGGCGTATTATAAGACAGCGTTCGCTTCCCATTCTAAAGCTTCAATACCTGTTACTTACCCAGATATTTTTCGCCTATCTGTGGCTTCTTGCCAATTTAATCCTTTGCGATAATCAACTTGTAATCGTTCTGACACTTCATCGAAAGTTAAACTACTTGCCTCGCTAGCCGTTAACCATAGTCCTGTATTGTCTTTATCCGTCTGGAAAAAATAAACATTTATCAGTACACGAATAATTTACATACCAGGAGACGCAATTAAGACGACTGAAACAAATTTGACGAGAAAGTTCTTTCTACCCAGATAGTTACTGTCATCAGATACCGATAGCTAATATTTTAGCAATGATTCAGTTCCAATGATACTTCTCTTTGTTAACATGTATTATGGGAATCAGACATTTTAATGAGAATTTTGTTGCCTAGAGATTAAACGAAAAAAATTGTCTTCGAAAAAATTATGCGTCCGTAGAAAGCAAAGAAAATGTATCATTGTATCATTTGCACGATGGCTAATTGAGAATTAGAAAATAATATCATTAAAATAAATTTTTTATTTTATACAAAAATTATTTGTTGATGACAATTGTGACAAGCCGGTTTTTCGATGTAATGCATTTTTTATTTTATAAATCTTCTCATGTATACCAAGACAAACTCCATTTTAGATATAATAACTCGATAGTAATTTTTGTTATCAATTCAAATGATAACCAGGAACCTCAATGATTTCCAACATTTGTGTTGACAATGTTGCCGTTTCTCTGAATTTGTCTGAACTATTTATAAAAAATGGTGAGAGTTACCAAAATTAATATTGTTATAACTTTGTTGTCAATTCAAATTTTCCAATGAAATTTTGCGTTCAAGCTAATTGAAGGATGGTGAATCCAGTGGTGAGGTCGATTTTTTTGAAAAAAAAAATATTTCGCAATTTTCAACATGAAAAAAATAAGACAGTATTGGAATAATATTAAGCAAAGTTGTGTAACCGTAGTTCTTCGGATATCTTTCTGCTGAAAAAAGAAAAAAGGTATCGGATGAGAAGATTTCATAACGGTGCTCCGGTCTGAAGTGGGTCACATTGTATATGGAGATGTTGGAAATATATGAGAAAATGAAGAATGGAGAAAAACACGGAATGTTTATTTGGAAAAATACTACTTGCACACAAATAAAGAATCAATATCCAGAAAGTGAAATGAAAATAAGATCAAATTCGTAAAGAAAATCATATTTGTCAACGGCTATAACACAAAATTCGTCTTGTTTTACTGTTTCCGATAAATCAATGAGTTACTTTGTATAATTGTGTTATTATTTCACAATGAATGTGATCTCCTATGAAATGTCAAATTTCAACCATGACAGCTCTGTCTACTAGATCATTACTTGAGAAAATCAGATGGCTACAAGCCGAAGGAACATGTTCGGAAATGTTTAATACTTCCATTTTCATAGATATTTTCAGAGGAGATAGGTGGATAGGTATACAACAATATACAGCTCCACTGTACACTATACACGTTTGGCATTGCCGACCGCCCAAACTTTTTTTCAATTGCAGCGACATGCGACATAAGCCGACCAGTAGGTATTAATTCGAGAACCCGGGTTTTTTTATACAACGTCACCCACGCGGCCTCCACCCTATAGTCCACGATTTTGGACGGTGGGATTTGGGGGGTTTTTATACCCCTGAGTATGACCAAATGAGACACAAAAAACACGTTGTGGGCTCCCGGTCTCTCAACTTCTTGTTCCACGTATTTACTAAAGATTGTATTTTATTCTTCAGTGCAAGCTGATGATCCAAAAAATGTTGAAGTGGAAATTCCATTTTCTCAATATAAAAAAAGTTCTAGGCCTGAGGCCAATAGTTTTTTTTTTCATTCTAACATTTCAATCAACTGGGACATTTGTCGAAGAATTCAATAACTACTTTCTCTCCTCATCTACTCCAGAGGTACGCACTAGATCTTAATTTTTGATCATGCGTTGATTGTTGTCAACAAAAAATTACACCCAGTAGGGTATTTAAATCTTTACCAATCAATATTTGGAATTATCTGCCTAGAGGAGTATCTTCAAGAACTTGATATACCCAAGAACGTTTCGACTCTTCTCATCTACCTCTGGTATGCACGATGTGCGACAAACATGATAGGAATTCCTTTTTGTGTTTTATATTCACTATTTATTCCTAGTGAAACAAAAAATTCTCCCAATGCATACAGAGAACATTGTAGATAAGTGATTAGGTACCTACGTCTTGTTGAATTCAATGTTGATATAAAAATAATTTAGATGAAACCTATTAAAACGAGTTGGCGCGTAATTTTACATGAAGTACACATATTTTTTCCACTGAGAAATTTTACGAATATCAGATAATTTTCAAGTCGCAGTGATGGTTCCTTTATGTCAACAAAAAGAAGAGAACATCGAAGTGTTTAGACAGGCACACGACATGCATAGGTGTTTGAAATGTTGTGTTTTTGTTGGATTTGTTCAAACGTTAATACTGAAACAAGCCTTACTTGGATGAAAGTATTGTATTGTCGTTTCATTGAACAGCAAGTTGTGAAACTACTGATGAAAAAAAAAGCGTAAACCCATTTTGTTTTGACGTTTCACCTTCTTCTTAGTACATAATATTTGAAAAATACAGAGACCAAACAATTTTAATCCCCATTTCCAGATAAGGAGATGAACCATATTATATTAACACTCGACATACAGGATGCCCCGAAAGTCTTAGAGATATGCTAGACTCTATATAGTTTATATACCATCTCCGAAATAACTATAGTTGTATTGAAAAATAAAAAAATTGATGACGTTGTGACTGGTCGAAAAACGACGTCCTTTGAAAACAGACAGTGGGCTTATACAATATACACCGCTGTCGATTAAGCTACTCAATAATTTTAAAAAGAGAAAACCAAGGTTGGTGATGAGTTGGTGACTTGATGATTACTCGCCATTGCCTCGATCGGACACAGTTATCTGATCGAGGCAACATCAACCTTCTTCTACAAATAACCATCAATTCTATCAACCTTGGTTAAAACTCATTTTATTACACTTGAAATGGTCAAATCATCCAATAAAAATAGTCCTTGTGGTGTGAATGTCACTTTTTGCAAATTAGATAGTAATATGAATAGTATGAAACTGGCGGTTTCTTCTCGTTAACTCCATACACACACGTCAACTGTTCAACTCCTGAAATACCGGGTGACGAAATAATTGGTCAGGGCGTCATTCAGTTGTTCCTTAAAACCGATATTTTCCATGAAAAAACAATAATGGGCTCATATCACAAAAAAATTGTATTATTTAATTCGATAGAACTCACCCAAACTAGCTCACCACCGCAAACCGTTCATCGCTGTGAGCTCCCTACGTTTTATAAAAAATTATTGAAATCCCCGATTTTTCGGACCTCTGAAAACGAGGTGATGATGTGACGTCAAAACCCTAATACTGAAACAGGTCTATTCCAGACAGAGATGAATCATACATGATTTCTGGCAGAGTGAATTAGCGCGAGATCACAGTTGAAAGAATTAATATATCAGTTGCCTCAGTCTCCGTCCGGCGTTTGGTATTTTCTTTTAACTATGGCGAGATGAGGTTTCTACGTCATAAGAGGGTCCGTTTTCAGATGGTACTATTATTTATGTCCAAAAATTGAACATTCCAGTAAATTTTTCGATCGAATTATGTCGTCAATCATTATTTATGTATGAAAGGATCATTATAAACATGGTTTGAGTTAAAAGTTCTACCAAGGTGTACACGCCCATTGTAATATCTGCCACTCTCAACGGCAATAGTATTAGGTCCGGAATTTTGAATGATATTTTCACGCAATTCCATAGAGCTAGAAAATTCCTTTTCAATGACAAATGGATATCCGTTTATGAAATAAGACGCAGGAGACATCTTTTCTAAAATCAATATGGCGGCACTGTGACGTTATCGATCGAATTTTCGTCAAGCAACATAGTAAAATATTGATTAAATGAAGCACGTTCCTGAATATTTCCAAAACGTTTTCCTATATCTACGGAGTAATGGAATTCTATACTATGACTAACCTCTTGGACTTCAACTCGAAAGGAAGGTATTACATATGAAATTTATTTCAGGAGCGTATCAGACAGGATAGGGACGGGTTAGACCGTTAACTTCGAGACGGTTAGACCTATCAAAATTATATCCAGGTATTCCAGGTGTAAAAATGTAAGGAAATGAACCAATGAAATTATTTATCATAATGAATGTAGATAATGGAATAGAGATTAAGGTTCTTCTTTTTGAGTTTTTAAGCAATACAGTTATAAATAAGGATACAATTATAAACTCTAATCTGAATAATATTTCATTTCAAACATTTCGCACCGTTTTCGAGTAAATTCGATTTGTGCGTGATATCCGTCCAATTAAATACTTTTTAATATTTTGAACACTGACTCTGGAATATTCGGTGGTTGTTTGTTGTTTTCATGTTTGATTTTATCCAATTTCAGTGAAATTGGAATGAAACATGCAAGATATGATAACATAATTTTCTGCGATATTACATTACAATATGAGTCACATATGGGAGGGCAGTTACTATTGGAGTTTCAATTATTTCATATTTTACATGAATGAAATTTTCAAATTGAAATCACTTAAAAATAGTTGTCTATTTCACCACGTGGAAACAGATCACATTTTATTTCTGAAAATAATGAAAATACAATACTCCGAATTCTAAGACGTATATATGGATAACATAACACAATAAATTATCGACACTACAAGTCCTACAAATATTATCGATAATTTTTTGAATTATCTATAAGAACTTTTTTATTTGGCAAAAATATGAAAACAAACCGATTGTTAAAATCATGAGTATAGGACGAGTGGTATTATCTACTTTGGTTTGTTTGAATGATTTTGCCTCAAATAAGAAAGTTTGAGTGATAAAAATAAAATAATATCCGATAAAATTTGAAGGACGAGATGTATTTGTGAAGGTTATTTTATTCACCGATTGGAGAAGAAAACACATTTTACGCTCGGATTATTTGTTGCGCCCTGTCAATAGGCGCTAGTATCTGGTGTCATCATTGAAATATAACCAAAGAAGGTTATTGTCCATGTTTATGAAAGGAATAGTTTCTATTCAGTCCCGTAATAATT